CAAAGCCGTAGAGAGGCCGGAGCGGCGGCCTGCAGCCTGCTTCTCGCGTGTCAGAGCCGGTAAGCTGGTCGCTTCTTTGAAGAGGGGAGAGCGAGCCGGCTAGCGAGCTCAGTTCGAAGTGCTGGCTGGTGCCTGGTTAAGCTTCACGGGGAAGGCTGGCTCACGCCGGGCAGGTGCTTTCCTTGGTCAGCAGCAGTAAAAGCTAGGATTAAGTCACAGATGATGTGTCGGCTTTTGTGTTCTTACTGTTCCAACTCAAATTTTGCTGCAGACTGGTCACTAAAAATACGTCAGATCAAAAAAACCTACCTAACACGTAATTTACGGGGGGCTGTCTGGGATAGCCATCACAGATCGTTTTGTTACGGAACGAGTACTAATAAAACTGCTTTAAGCTCATCAGTTGGCCTCCAAACTGCATCCTCATGGGATCATCTTGGTAATCATGTATTGCCGTTCTGACAACACACCACCCTAAACAGTCTCCCGCTTGTTACCTATTAAGTTTCATAAAGTAACAGACCAAAGATGAACAACTAATAAAAATCTTACAATAAAGTCTCTTTTTATTCTGTGTGATGATAAACTGATAGTAGAGTACTAAACAGGTTTGTTTCGGTTTTGGTTTTTTTACTGCCCCTTAATATTATTTATTCTTAATTCCTGATTTAACTGAGAGAAATAACTGCCTCAGTAGCATCATTGCCCAGTGCATTCATGCTTTTATTTTCGGTCTTTCATAATTAAATTCTTATCCCAATTAATAATGTCCATAATTCTTACCTACTTTTGAATGGAATATTTCCATCAAGTGGAAGGAAATGAGCACAGTCCTATGTGAATCTTGCAGTGAATACACAGTGTCTGTCTAGTATCATGTATATACATTCTTAAAAGCTTGCTTGGAGGGTGTTGCGCTGTTGAAAGGGGTTATGCATTGATTTTTGTCCTCTGATTGCTTTTTGTTTCACAGAGACATGCTACCAGAGCAGAAGGGCCTTGTACTGGAGTCAGCGATGCTGATAAGGTTCTACTGATTTTTTCCATAGTTAAATTTGGCTCTAACTCTTCCAATCCATCTTCATTCTTTCTTTCCTTCCTTTTTCAGCTAACCATCACAACCATCTTTTGTCTTCTACATGACATGAACCAGACATCAGCTGATTTTGTTTCCATCATTTTAATTTATTCATATACTCTACTTTTGTTTTTCCTCATCCGTGTTTTTGTGCAGAGTTCACATGAGACTCTGGACATAGTGGAGGAGAAGAAGCAGGCAGAGGTTGGGATAGAAGAAACACTAGTCGTAGATGAAACCAACAAAGGGAAAATGCAAGTTGCCACTGATGCTGGGGAAACATGTAAGGTGGAACATCTGTCAAAAAAGGACTCTTCATCATTGCCATCAGATAGTAGCAGCAGCAGCAGTAGTAGTGAGAGTGAGGATGAAGAGGTGGGAGAATACCAGCCACATCATAGGGCAATTGAGGAAGTCATCAGGGAAGAACAGGAAGAAGAGGAAGACATGAAAAAGAAAGAACATGAAGAAAAAATACAGCATGTGGAAGCCACACCAGAAGGCAGTAAACTAAATGTACCAGTTGAGCACACACAAGTTACAGCTGAAGATTTGGTCCAGGAAAATGCAGTTACCATAGCTACAGAAGAGAAGAATTTGTCAGAGGAAATTAAGCAAGATTTAGGTGAAGAAAAAGAGGAAGAACAGCTCAAACTCAATGGAGATGTGTCTCATGTTGACATTGATGTTGCACCACAAATAATTTGTTGTTCTGAGGTAAATGGTAGAACAGTTTGACAACTAGATTAAGCAGAGATCTTTCTTGGGGTGAAAATATACCTGCCTTTCTTCTTCTCCTATTTCTCCAGCTCTTCAGGCATCCAACAAGATTCAGATCATTTGGAAGGGGAAACCATTGATGAGCAGTGAAATTCTGTCTCCTTCAGTTATGGTTTCTGACTTTTTGCTAGAACTGAGTGAGAATCACCAGTAAGGCAAACCTTCCGAAGACTGACATCTCCTTTTTATCTCTCCCTTATTTTATATGCACATACATAATGTATATTTATTATTTACATGTTTCCAATGTTTTAAGTCTCGTCTTGTCTATTTGTCAATTGTTTTTGACACGTCCATGACATGTAATTGTGATTGGAAAACTATTGGCAATTGAAATTAGAAAACACCCGTCACAAATTTTTGTTCCCCCCCCCCCCCCCTGCTTTTCTTGCCTTTTTTTTTTTTTTTTCTTTTTAAAAATGTTAGGGATTTATAGACTAGAATAAGTATGGCTAGAAATCGCATAGGTGAGAGCACTGCATTGTAAAGGGGTGAGGCATATATCACAATCTTACTGTGAAGTCTTCTAGTGAAGTAGGTATTTAGGGAAGCATGCATGGGTTCCAGTCACTATGAGTTGTTTTAAGCCAAATAAGGTTGAAGGGCTCATTACTGGCCAAACTTTACAAAGAAGCAGAAGGGGAAAAAATGAAGCGCAGGGATGCGTCTCTTTGTAATGTTGTCATGATCTTCTGCTGGGTTTTTCAACAATTGGGTTGGCTACAATTTTTCCCAGTTAATCTACCTGCTTGTTCTTGTAATGGTGGGAATTTTTTTTTTTCCTTTGCACTTAAATGCAAACACCTTCCTTCTTTTGTTGTCTTTTGCATACACAGGTGGTCTGATTAATGATGTGAAAGAATTAGTTTATAAGATATAACTGTAGAAGTTGCAGAGACCCACACTTCCTAAAAATATAGCTAGTTTGGAGGAAGAGGAGAAAGGCTGCTGTGTGTGCAAGTGTGTGTGAGGGAAAGGAAGGATTTTTTTTTTTTTTCTTTCTCTTGGGATTTCCCCCCATGTGCATCCAAAACCAATGGGAGATAGCCACTGATGCCTCTATAAAAACATCAAAAGGCTTTTACTATATATATTTTTTTTAAGTTCCTAAATATATTGAAAATTTGCTCCAATAAGTCAAGTCGCAAGTTCACTGGCTTACAGACCCCTGGTTAATTGCTTTCTTTGCAATATTGCAGAGAACACGACTAGCTAACTCTAAATGGTTAAAATGGCTTTTTAGAATTGTTGTCAAAGAAGCCATTGATTTCCAGAATTATTACTTTGACTGTAGACTGCTTAAAAGCCAGTTGTCAAAGTTGTTTTTCTGTTCCAGAAGTAGTACGTATTAAAAAGATAAACTTTTACGTAATTTCCTTGGAATTTCTAGTCCTTATTTGCAGTTTGACTGAGCAATGATAGGTATTTTCCCAGATTAGTTCTAATATGAAGCTTATCCAGCTGAGCTAGCGATCAGCTTCTTTATGCAAACTAAGATATTATTATTATTATTATTATTATTATTATTATTTTGCCCTAGTGATGCTCTTTTACACATTTTCAGTACAAGTGTTGCAGCTTGGTTTTAGCAGTTGCCTTCTGTAATATGTCCCGTTGGCTGAAACACAGAACTTTGGCAAGGTTATTAGGAGATTAAATTTTTCTACCATGTTATGTAGATACTAGAGGTCTCCTGTATTAGCCTTCATTTCACTTTGCTTATTTTTTGCATGCTTTTTGATTGGGAAGACAGTCAAATGCTTACCTTATTGTTACTATTTTCTTGCGGTTTTGGTTGTGTTTTCTTGGTCCACTTTACAAACATTCTTCTGTCTTTTGAATTGATTGGTTATTTCTTGCACCACAGCCTCCAGTAGTGAAAACAGAGATGGTAACCATTTCAGATGCCACACAGAGAACTGAAATCTCCACTAAAGAAGTTCCAATTGTTCAAACAGAAACTAAAACTATCACATATGAATCTCCACAGGTATGGTGACTGGGTTATTATATTGTTTGCAAGCTGGTTTTTATTCCTGTTACTTGTAGATCAAAATAGATAATGTCCAAAAAATGCTTTTCAAAAAACTATACTTTTTTTCTAGCAGCTAAGATTATACTTTGGCTATGAATTAGGTAAATGAAATGTTTGTAGACAAAGCAGTGTTACTTCTGAAGTTCTCAGTGTTTTTTTTTATATAAGGACTTAACTGCTGTCTGCAAATGTATAACTCATATTTAGTTTTGGAAACTTGATTAAAACATGTCATTGCTCCTGAAAGGAACGTGTAACTTTATTCATAAAAAATAAAGTAATATTCATAAATATTCATAATATTCATAATATTCATAATATTTTAATATTCATAAATTCTTCTTTTCCACAAGAATGAACCATAACAGTCTTACATGACTCAGTAACTTGGATAGTTTCTATTTAGATTTCAGTTCTAACTGAACTAAAGAATGTGTTTAGTAAGAAAACCAGCTTTTTCTCCTGTGAAAACAAAGCTTTTAAATGCCAAAATACAAAAATACCTTTTTTTTTTTTTTTTTTTTTGCCTTACAGTTTGATGGCAGTGCTGGCGGCAATGCTGGTGTGCTGCTGAGTGCACAGACAATTACATCAGAGTCAATTTCTACTACCACAACTACACACATCACAAAGGTAAAATAGAATAATGTCTCTCTGAACTAAAATAACCCAAACCCTCAAAATAAAGTCTTACATGAAGCTTTTCATATATCTGCTAATTTATTGAAGAAAACTGACTTGAAATGGATTGGATTAATCCCAGGCACGTGTGAGAGTTAATCCTTCTGTGCACAGATTTTGAACAGAGAAGCCCTAATGAATAAGCAGCAATATCTGGTAACAGGACAGGGAAAGGGAGAAAAATATGATTCAGTTTTCAGTACTTCATATAGGTCTTATTTCTGTGTTTGACAAATGGGTATGTACCTAAATTTCTACAGTTTTGGTCCTGTCATCACTCTTTGTTAATGTAACTGATTTGTCTGAGGTCTGCAGGAGCCATGCTAAAGGCATCAGTTATAAGGATGAAGTGAAACAATGTTTTCTCAGCCTTTGTGTTGATGATCCTTGTGCTGCTAGGTTTAGACCATATTTAAAAACAGATCATACCACTAGATTACTTTGCAAGCATATTTTGATGCTGAATTATGTGCTCTGCAAGTCCATGCTTGAAAAGGAAAGGAAAACTCAGTGTTAACAGGACATCACATCTGTTTCAGTCTCATGTAATGTTTCATGCCAGAGCATTTTAGAACTACCAAAGCATGATGATGCTGATGATTATTCTTATTATTAATTTATGTAAATATTTATAAAATTTCAGGTGTGTCCCAGCAACACAGTTTTGAATGCTTGTCTTTGAACTCTTCACATAATTTTCCAAGAAATTTACAGAAAGCATTGTTTAGGGTAAAGCAGAAGGGAGGAGGGAAACATAAGGTGTGAGTTTGGGATTTTTTCCCCCCAAGACAAAGAAGCTTCACATCATCGTAGAGTGGAACAATAATTCACTGCTCATTGGGTATATATTCAGTATATGTATTCTAAAGGTTGAAATATTCTTAAGATTGAAAGTTGTATTCACAGAATGACAGTGGAAGGATTATGTTGGAAAGTTGTCAGATAAATCACATGAAATAGAGTAAGCTCAGAATTTAAAATGTGTATGTTTTGTTATACAGACTAGTCAACAGGTCCTTTTCAGTTTCCTGTTCCCTTTTGGAATCATTAAGCCACCACCATTTTAGGAAAAAGTCTTTATTCAATAAATTGTGCTACCACAGCTAGAGGGGGGAGGGTTAAAAAAGTGTACATTCACTTGTCAAGTTCAGATGTCAAATAATGCTGCTTTTTGGAAAGAGCCACTAAAGAAAATGGTTTCAGTCTTGTCTTTCACTTAAAAAAATACTGGGATTACCACAATGCACCAGATCCTTATCTTTTCTTACCAACTGCTTATCGTCAATTTAAAAGACACTCTAAATTTTCTAAACTTTCTGTTTTACATCCCAAACTGTTCGTTATTGATAAAGTGATCTGCCAAAATAGTTTTAATATTCTAATGGTGTTCTTAACATTTGAATCTTTCCTAGTACGGTTAGTGTATCTTTAGTAGTAGTTTATTCTTTTCTCTTATACAGGCTTTTTTTTTTTTTTAAAAAGCATATAATATGATTTCTGTGAGAGTTTTTCTGTAAGCTAAAATGTTTCAATCATGAGAGTAAGAAATAAAGCACAAGATTATTTCCATCAGCAATGTGAAATATGTTGAAAATATCTCACTAAGGTCCATGAACAGCAGAACTGAAAACCAAATTGTTTTTGTATTTAATGGCATAGGATTCTTCAGAGACTGAGAAGAGGCCCATGATAGATGGGTTGAAATCAAAGAAAAGACTCCTAGAATTTTCGTGTTGCCAGATTTATGTGGTGGAAGAAGCTGGAATTCCAGTTTGTCTGCATATCTAGATCTGTTCAAACTTGGGCTCCAGTAACAGAAAGAATTCTCTATGGCTTGGTTTTTATCAAGTTTAGCAATTACTAGAATGTGACTAACTGCATAACTGAAAAAGGAAAGGATGATTTAGCACCAAGAATATTTACTACTAATTGCAACTCAGTCACAGGAATTTATTTGTTTCAGTGCAACAGAAAGGAGTGCTTTGTGGCAGTATGGAATAATTACAATGATGTTTTCTTCCTTTTTTTTGTGCCAAGTGTAGATGGTAAAAGGTGGGGTATCAGAAACAAGAATTGAGAAGCGCATTGTCATTACTGGAGATGCAGATATTGACCATGATGAGGTGAGTATGTAAGCTGTTAACACTTACAATGTGCTTTTGTAGTCCAGTGAGATCTAGATGATATTTCAGAAACCTGAAATAAGAGAAAGGTAGAGAAGTTGAATAAGAGGACATAGAAAGACCCTGAGACTGTTAATTGTGGCAAAGTTGTTAAGCAATCACATTTTGTGAATAAGGAGCCTTTAGAATACAACTGAAAGAAAAACAGCATTCGTAACTCTGCATCATAGATCATGTGAATGGATTTCTTACTATTTCTAAAGGGATTGCTTTCTTTGGAAGAGACAATTTATTTAGTGCTGCTTTTGCCATTTGGGAGGAAAAGCATTACTAAAATAATCTTATTTCGATACATTAATCTGGATAGATGGGAGTTTCTACTGAATTGTGCCAGCAACATCTGAGTGCAGCACTCGTTTTGACTGAAAGCTTTGAAATATATGAAAGCATAAACTGCTCAAATTTAAAAAATAGTGTTTGACTTGTATATATAAAATTCTGTATAACAAAAGTAATTGTTGATCTTCTGGAATCTTATGTAAGTACCTTTCATCTCTATTGGTACCAAAGCAGTATTTTACAATGCCTTAGAAACTAAGGTTAAAATCTACCTGCCCAGTTAAGAAGGCTGAATTCGAGCAGTACACAGAAAAATAATTGAGAAAGTGCAATTATCTTTGTAGCGATGATGACACAATTTTTATTGTTTTTGATCTGAAAAACTATAGTAACAAAGTCAATCAACAGTCACTGGATAATACAAATGGAAAAGCCTAGCTTCTGCATAAAGTTGCAGTGAATCCAATTCTAACTTTATGAAAGCTACACAAATCAACATAACAGGATTTAATTTAACTTCTTAATTGTAATATACTGAGAGCTCTCAGGGAATTTAATTTCACATTTTGATTTGCCTCCAGAAAGTGGCTCTTGACAGGTTGAATCTCTTCTTGAAACTCATAATTAAATGACAGGGCTGTTCAACGTCAGGCATGGCTCTTGTTTGCCTTGACACGCGTTCAGTGCACTTCAGACATCTGGAAAGGTCACACAATACCTTTAGTATACCAGACAATTCTCTAAGCCCTTCTTTGTTTTGAGATAAGTGGGTAATCAAGTAAAAAATGAAATTATGAAAAAGGAAGTACAAAATACAGTTTTAATCACTGAAGTTTAAAGCAGCAGTGAGCAGCTTTTAAGAGATTTAAGAAATCTCTACCCCTTTTTCTTCAGTGGATATGGAGCTCTTTAAATGCACAAACTACATGCTGGATGTTTATTCTTTTGTCTTTTAGCTCCCTAAAACTCATCACTAAAACTTTTTTCAACAGGAAAATAGTATTTTAATTTGGAGTTTCAGAATACAGATGCTTGTATTGTTGTAATTTAACAATTAGAGACATAAGGTTTTTTTATTGTTTATGATTTGATTAAAAACACTGATTCTTAAATCTCAGCAGCCACTTTCTTTTAAATCCTCATTTGTACTACAGAGATTACACTTGGCTTATTGTAAAAGATGAACTAATAAAAAATTGTTAGGATTAATACATCAGCAAATGTCTGTATTGTACCAATGCACACTGTGTATTCTTCTGTACATATTTCCTTAATAGGATTTCAGATTCATTATGATATAATAGTTAAGGTGGCTAATGGTGATGTTTCCAGTCTCTCTTCAGAGTTAGTTATTTCATCTCCCACTTACCACCAATGGCTCGGGAAATTGTAGCTTTTCTAAATTAAGATAAACTTTTTTGTTGCATTATATTTTTCTTGCTCTTTCTAGTATATTTGGGGGTTTTTTTAGTTGTGGTTGATACTAAGGTGAACAGTGAGCTTGCTGTTGCCTCAGAATGCCTTCCAGTTTCTTTTTTTTTTTTTTCTTGTGTTGGGTTCCAACAGTAGTACAGCTCACTGAAATAAGATTTAGATCAGAGGAAGGTTCCAGGTGCTTTTTTGCCTGTTCTGCCTCAGAGGGTGCTCTTATGTGGTTGACTGTAAAGCCTTGTGTAGAATAGAATAGAATAGAATATTTCAGTTGGACTCGTCCAACTGCCAGCTGTGTATATTGGAACATCTCTTAAGAAGATAAAATTTCTTAAAATGTGGAGGGGGGATTATAAGAAACTGAATAATACTTCTATTTACACTTCCATGAGTTAAGCTAGAGAGAGTTCTCTTAAACTAGAAAAAGGAGAAAAAGGAGATTTTTGTAATGAGAAAGAAATTTCTGTTATGATCTTCTTCCAGAATTTCAGTACCATACTTCGTACACATTCCAAAGTATCTTTCCATTTTGTTCAGGAAACTGAAGGGCACTCTTATTTTTTCGTACTGTGTACATTCTTGTGAAATCTATTTGCTAGATATGTTGCAGAAGTTCAAAAACTTCTGGGGTATAAGAATACTTTTTGTCTTCTGGAATGAGCTAGAGGTACAGGATAACTTTATGGTTATTGGTTACTTCCTGGAAATTTTGGTGAATTTTTAGCGGGGGGGGGGGGGGGGGGTTTTGGGGGTTGGTTGGTTTTGGGGTTTGGGGGTTGGGGTTTTTTTACCCCTGAGCCCTCTGAAGTTCAGGAATTTAGAGTTCTGAACAATTATAACCAAAATTCCAATGCTTCTTTCCCATTCTGTGGTTCCACATGAATGTCCTTTTGCTGTTATTGAGTTACATATTTCAAATACATTTGCAGGCCCTGGCACAGGCAATCAAAGAAGCCAAAGAACAGCACCCTGATATGTCTGTCACAAGAGTGGTGGTGCACAAAGAAACTGAACTTGCTGAGGAAGATGAAGAGTAAGATCAAAAATGCCCTCAAGCAAATACTTCAGGTAAGCTTATGTATGTAGTTAACTGTCGTGGTTTAACCTCAGCCAGCAACTAAGCACCACGCAGCTGCTCACTCAATCCCCCCCCCCCCCAGTGGGATGGGGGAGAGAATTAGGAAAAAAAAAAGTAGAACTTGTGGGTTGAGATAAGAACAGTTTAATAGGACAGAAAGGAAGAAAATAATAATGATAATAAAAACAATAATAAAATGACAATAGTAATAAAAAGGATTGGAATATACAAAACAAGAGATGCACAATGCAATTGCTCACCACTCACCAATGATGCCCAGTTAGTTCCCGAGCAGTGATCCCACCAGGCCTACTCCCCCCAGTTTATATACTGGACATGACGTCACATGGTATGGAATACCCCTTTGGCCAGTTTGGGTCAGCTGCCCTGGCTGTGTCCCCTCCCAACTTCTTGTGCCCCTCCAGCCTTCTTGCTGGCTGGGCATGAGAAGCTGAAAAATCCTTGACTTAGTCTAACCACTGCTTAGCAACAACTGAAAACATCAGTGTGTTATCAACATTATTCTCACACTAAATCCAAAACACAACACTGTACCAGCTACTAGGAAGAAAATTAACTCTATCCCAGCCAAACCCAGGACATTAACATAGGAAAATGTAGCAACAGTTTTCTGTTGCGTTGTGTAATAAAAGGCTTGAAATATCTGGGGTGTCTTTGATACATGCTATCACAAAATGGTGAGTTGAAACAGGCACTAATAGTAGACTGTTAGCATAAGAATTTTTATCTCAAGTCCAATCTGACATTAATTGTAATTATATCTTGGTTGTTTAGCGGGAAGACTACATGCAGTTCCCAGTAGTGAAAGGGCACACCTGGACATTTTAATTTAGTCAGCTAATTCTTAGTCCTAAGCACACTGCAATATTTAACCTTTTATCGTTTTCCCAGGCAAGGAGGTAAATACCTTGCAAACTCAAGTTTTAAAGACTCTTACTGGTTGAAAGAGGTATTTGAAGGAATGTCAGTTTATTAGGCCCTCATTTCTAGGAATGAAAAAAAGAAAAACAAAAAAACCCCCTGCCCTCCTTGATGTATTCAACAGAAGGATCAGAATGAACACTGAATAAACCTGCTGCTGCAGTAGTTATAGGCTAATGTCTTAAAGCTCAGTAACCATTTGGGAGTATAAAGCTTCAAATTTCCTTTGCTTGTCACACTGGGTGATGTAATGAAACTGCAGCTTCAGATTTTCCAGACTTGATGGTTTTGTTAATTGTAGATTCAGATTCAGGGGAAAGGTTTCATTTGGCATGGTTAAATAACAATAGGAGAGATTAAACAATAAATGATGTTTAAAAAGCAATGTTTTAAGCCTTCATTGGGAGACATTTTAGTTTCTACTGATGAGTCTCTGTATTTAGCTAGAAGAGCACAGGTGTTATTGGCACATCTCAAGGGAATACTGGTTTAGTACAACTTTAAGTTTTTAATATGCGTTTAGATCAATGTTAATGTAGGGGGAGACCAGGTAAAAGAGATAGATTTTGTATTTTTTAAAGAAATTACATGATTCTTATTTCCTCAGTTCAGTAACTTATACAATGACAGTGGTGGCCCATGGAGAAGAGTCCTAGGTCCTGTACAGGCATGCATTCCCTTAGTATTGAATGAAATTTTTTACCAAAGGAAACTACCTGTCATAAACTTCATCCTGCAGCTTCAGGAGACTTCTAGATATCATGAGCACTGTTCATGAAGTATTCATGAAGGAATATATGAAAAATGAGACACTGACTTGATTCCAAATTTGATGTAAACTACTATAAAGAGAGGAGGATGTATTTCACATAATCCTGATAATTTCTCATGTTGAGAAGATCAGTTTTATTCTTGTGCCCGAGTTTCCTAAGAGCTGAAGATTTCATTGTCAGGTATCACTTCTGTGATCCAGAGGAGAAAAGATGCAAGCTTCAAGGATATGAAGTGCACCTACTGAATGCTACTCTATGAAAGATGACCATTATCAAGGAATCCGAGTCTTCTGAACAAGTCACTGATCACAGATGCATATTTTCAGCTGAAAGACATAGGCTAAAGCCTTAGTTTATTTCATCTACCCACAAGTGTCTTGCTTTTCTTTCATCTGGATAGGAGTGGAGGGGCCACGTTGCCAGCTGTTGTCATGTATATGATCAGTTGGAGGCTTCATGTTGTGAGGTATTGGGGAGAGAGTGTTTCTCATCTGTTGGCAGAATTCTTGGTTCCCATCACTGCACACATCAACTCTTCTGGGAGTTGGTCCTGAACTCCTGCTACCTGCAGCACTGCGTAGAGCACATGCTGAATGCCGTGGAGAAGTCCATGAGGACAACAGTAGGATGCCTGCCCTCTGCCTGCAGACAGAAAGTTTACCCACCTTCTCCATCAAAGTGGTTCCGGTTGCCTTTTCTGGCCCTATACAGATTGTGCTAGAACTACAATGTTTGTTTTGATTATGTGAGTTCATAAATTGCCTTTTGGCCAGCTTTCCTCTGAGCTTGGTGAGAAGCTGGAGGTTTTACATCACAGTGGAGCTAAATTTGAGCTGCCCTCTGACAATTTCTTCAGTTTTGGTGAGATTATTGTGTGTTTGAAAAAGGAATGAAAAATTTTTGCTCATAACTGTGCAAACCAGGAAAACAACATGGATCAAGGCATTGCTTGGTCAACACTCACCGGGACATTAATGCTATAACATTAATACTTTTTTAATTTTTATAACATTATATAATGTTATAAACTGTGGAGATAACAAAGGGGGGTTGCTTGTGAGGGAGGATTGGGGAAAAGTTACCAAAAATTAGGAACTCTGCACAAATCTCTATGTTTTTTCACTGTACCTTTATTTCAGTGTTCAGTTGGATTTGTTTTGTAGCTTTGTTGCTTAGTGTCACTGAAAATGGGTATAGCATGTATGCTCCAGCTTTGTTTTGAAAGCACAGGAAAGGACATGGAACTGTACTGAACTGTGAGATAGGGATGTGTGGATGAATCCTCACATCACATAAATGCTCCAGAAGGGCTTGGAAAAATCCACATCACTTTTGAGAGAGCTATTAGTTTGTAGCAAGGAGAATGCCTGTGATTTTAGGTAATTTCAGTGGTCCATTGGTACACAGCAACATGAAACATGCACGCTCAAACCATCCATCTTGTATTTTCAGCATTTGCATAGCAGGATCTAAGGTAGAAAGATACACTGAGACAGCAGAAGAGATAATTTTGATTTACAAGGATTTACTATTATAATATGTGCTACCATCACATTTTTCATTTGTTACTAATCAGTGTGAAATGTGCCAGTTTCTTCATGCTACCTTAATCCAGAAAAGTATCTTTCAAATCAGTATTCAACATAATCTATCCCATATAAGTAATTACAATATCTTTTTTGAAGGGACTGTGTCATGGGAGGAAGAAACAATCTTGGCAGATTTGCACCACGTTATACATTAGTGACCAGCTGCAAAGTTGATTCTGATCCTTCATCAAATATTTAACTACTTTGTAAAAATTTTATTCAGAAAAAACTTTCAAAGAATTCCTTCCATCTGCTGAGGGTGGTTTTTTCTTTTTTGAGAAATATATACATTGTGGAATGGTGCTTGCAGTGTATTGGAGAGCATCAGATGTTCTTGTCTGAGTTTGCCAATTGCTTTACAGCTCTTGGTCCGAAATGCTTGTGAGAGAGTAAAAGAGGACTAATATGAAGACATTTCACCATTTGGCTCTTGTATTTGAGACCTGGTGATTTGACTGATGATGCCTTTCAGTTAAACATGAAGGAAAAAATTTAGTTGTCTAAACACAGGCCACCTGAATTGCCTTGAATATGTCTGCAGCTTGACCATCAAGAGCCGTATGCCCTCCTGTAGCAGCAACTGAAGGGCTGGTGGGACTGCAGAAACAGCTCTAGACAATTGTGTTTAGGCCTTGGAGTCATGCCACAAATTTTGATTAGTTGTTTCTAAGGTGATGAAAGCTCTGCCCCGATGACTATGGCAGTATTGTTTTTGTAGACTTGTTTTCTGTAATAAAACTGAGAGATATTACACTGATTCAGAGGGATTATTAATTGAACAAATATCTTCCTTTTTTTATTTTATTTATGAACTAGAATGTGGATTAAAATTTTCAGTAAACTGTGCAAGAGGTGACTATTAAAATACCATGAGAATTTTGGGGAGGGAGAAGATACACTAAAGCAGGAAAAGTATTGATAGAAACTGAATTACTGTTTACCTCATGAACAAAGGGGGCTTTAGTTGATGCAACATTTTTTTTATGAAATAACCTTCCCTCCAAATAACGTATATGGAAAAAATGACTTTTTGACTCTGCTGATGTGACATTCACATAGTATGTGTTATGAATGCTTAGGTAATCTTCCCCCTCCTTTTTCTTCCAGAAGTAAAAATGATACTGACGGTGATCGTGATCGTGAAGAACTGTAATCATTCCAAGTCATCACTACTCTACCGAATTCACCAAGCCTAGCAATGATGACCAGATGTTCAAGACTTAAATGCCAATACCAAACTCCATTTTAACATCTTTGGTCTATATTCCCTTACAATCTTTCTTGTTTATTTTTTATAACCACTTCTTAACACTCTTAGATTTTTTTTTTAAATGAAGTTTTAGAGGATATGATCTTCTTTTGCACAAATACTTGTATTTTTGAAGCTGATTCTTAATCATATGAAAGTGAACAAAAAAGAAGTCTGGAAAGCATTGTTCACTGGAGCAGGTAGTAATTGTGCAGGAAGGGGGATCTTTACTAATTTAGATATAGTTTTTTCCAAATATTTCAAGTGAAATCTCTTACTGGAGTAATTTACAGATATTTTTTTTTTCAGATTATTCAGGTAAATATATGGTATCACATAACAAAGATTTTTATAAAAATACAACATTTCCTAAAATTTGAAAAAATATATTTCTTTGCATAAATTTTATACTGATATCTCTGTAACTCTTTCTGTTCTAAGGTTCTCCTCTCTGTGGAGCAGAGATGGTGTGGCAGTCTATAGAGGAGAAAGAGTTGCAGACACATTTCTTCTGACTGAGCACTGTGTCGTTTTTGCACTTTGGTGCCAATGCTCAACTTTTTGCAGATGTTTTGCTGTCTGCAGCATTCCAGATAAGGAAAGAAGGAAGAACAAAATAGCTTTCTCTTCTTCCAACAAAAGATGATCTAGGCAGCTTAAAACCTTAGTGCTTTTTTTCTTACTGTGTCCAAATTTCAACACTTCCATTATTTGAATACATGTGTAGAATGCTCGCTTTCTATTAAACCTCACTGTCTTCATGTTAGAACTGACATTTCTGTTATTGAGAAGGTATACGTTTCACATGCTTCATCTAATGGTTGATGCAGGTTTTGGGGATACTGAGTAAAAGTGTAAGATGGGCTCCATTCATAAAGTAGTAAGACAGTACCATCATTTGAGACTGCCATTGAGAAAACCTGTTAATTATTTTGGATTTTATTTTTATTTTGTTCTTGGAGGGGGGTTTTTTGTTTGGGGGGGGGGGGGGGGTTGCTGTTGACTCTGTGTATAGTTAAAATGCCAAATTAGATTTATAGCAGCTTGAAGTTGTATTAAGTGATATTTTGCTTTCTGTAATTCTGTTATAAAATAAAGTTGTTTATTCTCTGTATGACTTTTGGCACTCAGACATAAACTTGGAAGATATTTAAGGTGAGAGAGTCAGTTATGAGAACTGCAATTCTAGCTGCCACAGAACCTTGAAAAGCAGGGATTAGTACAAGTAGTCTCCAGGGTTACCAGAAGGGTGGCACAATTGTCTGGCTCCCAAAACTGATACTAAAGTATCAGTGGTTTTTAGACCTGTTCCAACAAGCATCCTGGTTTCTGTGGTTCGGAGAAGAAATGTTCAGGTGCCAGAACAGGCAAGATTTGGACAGCACAGTGCAAGTTAAAATGCCCCTCGATCTGCAAGTGGTTCTACTGAGTTCATTGAGTTAGGATGTACTATGATCTTCAAGTAACAAAACAAATCATAAGACTTCTCACTGCGTTCTTTTTCACTTCTGAGCAATGTATTTTTGGTGCTATTCTCGGTTTAGATTGCTGCCATCTGTCAGCATGCTTGCTTAACAGAAATTCCTATTAGTTTTGGCTTTGTATAATTTGGATAACATAAGACAACAGTAACCAAGATGTTGATTTCTATATGCGTATAGGCATTCTCAATTACATCCCACATTACCCAGAAAAATAGCAGATAACAATGTTACCTGCTTTTCTTCAAAAACAGAGACATTCGGCCTTTCAAAAAGGGGAGGAGAACCCCACCCAGCCTAGTAACATAAGAACACTGCCACAACACCATGCATGACTAGGGAGGCTGTCAAGCAAGTAGCAAGTTTGGGATATGTAAGGGAAGGTCAAAATGGAGATATATGCATTTAGGGGGATGTCTTAATGGATTTTTCATACAAAAGTACGTAAGAAAAAGCTCTATAAAATCTTTCAGGTATTTTTGATACGGTGTAGTATTGGTTGCAGAACTCATTTGGTGGGAAGAAAGCATATTGCTTCAATTCCTTATTGATTTGGATCTTTCTGATTTGTTAGACACTAAATCAATATTGGTTTTTATTGTCATTGTATTTAATCCTTAAAACACAAATATAATATTCTTGAAAACAATATTACTTTCACTGAGAGCTGTATTTCTTCAGATACTAATCAGAACCTTTTTTCAGGGAAAAATTAATAGTGCTTTCAGATCACCATAGCTTGTGCATAGCTGTTACTTCCATTGATTAAACATGTACTAAACAACCATTGTTATTTAGAAAAACATAAGCCCCAAGTGTGATCAGTCCTAAAAATAGTCACATTTTACAGATTCTGGCTGTATGTAATTATTCAAATGTTCTGGAATATTTTGCAATACTGATAAGTTTCCATTGCTCCTTTTTTTTATATAATATATCTGTAGAAAAAACTGCAACATGCAAAAAAAGAAATTGTTCTCAAGGCACTTCACAAGCTGGCTTTATAATAAATAGGCAATTTCAAATACAATTACAGGCCCATTTAGTGAGAAGATAGTTCAGTAATTAATTCTGCTCAAATACTTAGAAAAGTAATTCATGTGGGCCCTACACAAAAATACTTAATACGTCTTTCTTTTTAATCATTATCACCTCAGGGTTCATAATAAATGTTGGAATTGTTCTACAGATTGTTTCCTAGATTAAGGTTTCATAAAGGACAAGCAATCAACTCTGGTGGCAGACTGTTTAAAAAAAAAAAAAAGATTTATTGCTCAAAGTGATTAGCAACTACAATACAAAGTGTTTCTTGAAGTATTCTTCTATTTGACAGCTCAAGCCGAATGGCAACTTGTAGTTTGGCCACTGAAGAAATCAAATAGATGGAATAAAATAAATGAAATACTGTCACGGGGAGGGGGGATGAGAGAGAGAAGAGGGGTTCAGATCGCTTGAAGAATCATCTCCAGTTGTATTAGGAATAGAAAAGTGATTTACTAGAAATTTATATAAAACTGCAGCTTCACAGAATTCAATGGCAAGGTTCACTCTATTACTTAGTACATGGATGAAGTGCACTCAGGAAAATTAAGTTAGAATCAGACTAAACTTATGTGTATAAAAACTGAAAATGTAATAAGTTAGAGAGAGGAATATTACAAAGAAAAATCAAGTTCTGATTAAGTTCTTGTGATTTGTGCAAAGATAGGGAATGTGGAAAAGTAGGGGAGACCCTCCCATTGAGTCACGAGGTTCAGAGAAGATCCCCTTGCTTTCTAAACTGCTGTCGGAGTCTAGGTGTGTTTGGATTGACTCCTAGTCCCAGGCTTGGTCAACAGTTTGTATCTAAAGGGATTATGAGTATAATAGCAGCCTAAAATTCATTCACAGTTTAATAAAGTTTATGATAGTATAAATTTGAAAGTATCAGCCCAGGTTGTGTCCTGCTCGGAGGGAGATGCTGGCCACAGCCCGCTGCGGTCCGGGAGAGCTCAAAGGGCCTCACTCAGTACTGTGCTGGTACCATTTCACGTGCAGGTAATGAAAGCTCTGAGGCTGGCTGAGAATAACTCAAAATATAGATACAGGATGCTCCAGGACTGGCAGGGGAGGGCTGAAATGTCTCAAGAACTGGCTATCTCTGCTCCCGTGCCACCGCTCTTGCTGGGCAGCAGGAGTCCCTGAGACGCACAGCGTATCTCCCTGTCTTAGCTGTGCACGAGTTCCTGGCACAGCCTAGCAAGACTTCAGAGTTCGTAAATCAGCCTGGAGAGGGGGAAGGAAATACACCACCACAAATACTATGCAGGGATGCAGTGGGAGCTTCTCAGCTTTTAGGCACACTAACTGTGGAACTAGGCTTCTGGGAGCAGCTGGTGTCCTGCACTCAACCTGACTACACCTCTGGAAGGTTTCAAACTGTTTTGATTTTCAGGCTGCTCGGTTGTTTGGGGTTTTTATACTGGGTTTTTATACTACACTTGGTAAAAGATGCTTGGATTAGTAATATTAGTACAACTTAAAAGCATGAGAAATGCTACTAATACCTGGGGTTTAAACTATTCTGTTTGGCATGAAGCAAATCCTACAAGAGTTTTTGGAGGTAAGTATATATGAATGGCTGTACTGGCCCAGGCTAAATGACTAACTAACACTCCCAGATTCCTGTCTCTGAGGCTACTGGTATTTGCCTAGGGGTGTGTGTAAGAATAAGTACTGTACTAGAAAGCAGTACTTTCCCAAATATTCTTCCGGCTTTCAGCAATTTTCAAAGACTTACTGGTCTATCAGTCTTTCATATTTATCTGCCTCTGGATTTTTGGCTAGTTGCTTTTTTAAAAATTCCTCTGGCAGGCATTTTCACCATTCAGTGTGTCTTAAGGAAAAAAACACCTTTCATTTCTTTTGAACAGGCCTCTGCTAACTTTGTTTGATAGCACCACTGCTGATACTAGAATAGACACCTAACAGTCATTCTCTCATCAGCCAAATAGCTATTCCACGATTCTTCATCATTCTTAACACCTTTCTCTGTACCTTTCTTACTTAAATGTTGGGACTTCTGTTCTGGGAAGTGAAGAGGAAGCAATCACAGATAGGCAGGAAGGTTTTAAACATGCTTACTGGTTGTCGGTGGAGTGGAGTCCTAGCCTCATGTTATTGCTAGTGATAGACGGAGGACTCCTCAGTAATAGCAATAATTGAAGACAAATTATTTCCTTGCAATCACTGTTTTCATATATATTTAGAGAATGCTTTTATAATTTATCTAGACAAAGACTTAGTTCTATGGTGTTATTTAAATATCTATTTTTCCTTTTCGAAGGAGTTACGTAAGATACTGTGATGTGTTTCATGCCAGTGGCATGAAAACATATATGCAGGGACATTTTCTCTTACTGGGAAGAATAAGTTTATACGAAGAGTAAAATCAGAAGAGAAGTATCTTCAGCCTTTTGATTGAAAAATACTGGGAAAGCAGTTCTGGCATAATTGCAGGTGGGGCATCTTGAAACACACAGAGAACCTGTTAATGGGCATCTGGAGTGAATTGCCAGCTGGAGATGGGGAACCCTGCAATTAAACTGCAGATTCCTCTGCCAGCTGACTGAGATAAACTTGCGTTTACTGTCTTCACTCTTCCAGGTTTTGCTGTGGTTCTCTTACAGGGTCGCTTCCTTTGAAGTCAAAGTCCATATGTCTATCTTGCATTTGACTTTTGCTGTTCATGTTAATGCTGTGACTTCTGAATAAATGCCTGGCTTTTTCCACCCAGCACCTTCTGCTGATTTCAAATGGAACTACAAAGTACTTTGCACTTTCAAATGTAGGTAATTCTTTTGGGAACCCAAATAGAGACTACTAGGTCTAATTAGAGGTACTTGCGTTTAAGCATCCTAACATTTACTTTTACTATACAGGTGTACAGGTAGCTCTTTCCAAGTAATAAACAGTTGGCTCTTCACCTGTTCAATGCAATGTATTCTATGTTATTTGCATAGATTTAAACCAGTGTGATGAGTTACATATTTTTAAAAATAGGATAGTATTAAAATGTGATAGAGGACTGTTATGTATAGTAAAGGTACTTGCTGTTTGACTCCTGTTTTCTTCTCATACACTTTGATAAATTACAGTGTTTCTTAAATCTGTGGTCATGGCCTCATTAGTGTTTTTATAAAATGATTCAAAGGAGTTCTTAGAAGTCTGTGAGAACTGAAATTGTGCAAAACCACACATAATCTCAGACAAGGCATTATCCACTCTGTTTTTGCAGGGTGGGTAGTGACAAACAGCTGCAATGAAAGGTAATTGCAGACAGCAATTGCTAGCAGATAGGGGCAGTAAATATCAGGGACAGTAAATATCAGGGACAGTAATGGTGGTCACTTCTCATTCTTCATCAGTTTGGATTTAAACTTGAGAGTCAGAAACAGAGAAGCCGAAAGGCAATAGTACTTGCAAACAGTTTGAGTTGCGTTTTTCTGGGCCATCTGCCACAGGCAATCTGAGATGCACTAAAAATTCTACATCTACAGCCAATGGGGGGGGGGGGGGGAAGATTTTGGGTGTGTGTGACAAATGACACGCAAAAAAAGAAAACTCCATATTTACAGGGGTTTTTAT